CTTCTTATAAGGTCGTATAATTTCTTATACCTTCTTTGTGTAAGATCTTATAAGATCATACAAGATCTTGTACATTCCTATGATAAGAAAAGTCTTGTAAAATCTTATAAGAATCTTGCTACAAGATATCATATGAAATCTTGTAAGATCTTATAGGAAATTGATAAGAATTGATAAGACCTTTTGAAATCTTATGATTTCTTATTATACGATCACCCAAGATCGTATATGATCTTGTAAGATCTTCCAAGATCTTGTTATCTAATCCTTGGACCTAGGAACCTCTGTTTTGCTACAAATTCTATATTCTTTGATGTGTCTGCTAGAGTATAAAGTAGAGTATAAAGTAAAACATACGAAGTTAAAGTCGAAAGTTTTAGTAGGCGCATTTTCTTTAGGTAGTTCTTTAGAGAACACGAAAAAAGTTTTCTTCTTTATATTATACGCTATACAAATGCAGACCTTTATAAATAAGTTGGCGGACCCAGAACGCGAGAGAAAAAGTAAGCATCTTTCAAATAAAGCAACCACTTGTTTTCTTTGCTCTTTTCTTCCTCTATGTGTTTCCAACTACAGTATAGTTTAGCGCAATTTTACGCTTAGTACTCCTCTAGAATGAAAACCGACATGACTAATCGCTTCGGCATGGTCAAAAACCCCTATTCTGATCTGTTCTAGAGTAATCCAATGGCATGAGGCCGATTTCGATGGTTTTTCTATGCAAGTCCAGGAGTACTCAAAGTTGGATATGGCTAACTTTTCACCACCTCAACGAGCGAAAAATTTGGATGTAGAGGTTTTAGATATCGCTGATTCAGATGCGCATATCAAATCAAAAAATTAAAACTTCACCAGTACCTCGGTTCCTGGCGTGATCCTCGATCGTCTCATAGATCCTGTCTCAAATATCTCGCAACCGTAGAAAGGCTATTAATATTTATGAAGTGATCTTTCTATTCGAGTGATTTTTTTAGGTGAAGAATTTAAATATAGTTAATAAGAGATAAACCACTGTAATAAGCATGAGAACAGACTATTTTCTGTTAGACGTTTCGTCTTTATTTAAAAGACATCATCAGTCAAATGTGACAGACGATAGTTGATTCAAAATAATTCTCTCTATTCCCAAAAAAACTTTGAACGTATTTTGACGACGCATGATTCAATCGTCATATATTGTGCAAAAATGAAAAGTTTTATTTTATCTATTTTATTTCGTTCTACACACTTGTACTTCTATTTATCTGTTATTTTGAACCAACTATCGTCTGTCACATTTGTTTGATGATGTCTTTTGAATAAAGACGAAACGTCTAACAGAAAATAGTCTATTTTCATGCTTACTAAGGTGGTTTATCTCTTATGATCTTTCTACATCTAGGAACGAACGCCTTCACGTTTGCTGGAGTTTTTATCGATGCTGTTTACATCTCCAGTGTTTCTATTTTTATTTTTACCAATCGTCTTAATTGTATATTCTTTGATAAAACCTCAGTTCCAAAATGCTTCGTTATGCTTCGCCAGTTTATTGTTTTATTTCTGGGATGAGACTTCTTACACAATTATTATGCTCATATCTATATCCATTAATTATTTAAGCGCATTAGGAATGGAGTATTTGCGGACTAACTTCATTTTGCACGAACCTAAAGTTCGTCAGCTCCTTCGCGTCTCGATTTTTGCCAACCTAACGATGCTAATTTTCTTTAAATATTTGATTTTCTTTGTGGAAAGTTTTAATACAATCACGCGTATAGTTGGATGGAACCCTCTGAAGACTCCTTCAATCACTTTGCCAATCGGAATTTCCTTCTATACCTTTCACGGGCTATCCTACATTATCGACGTTTACCGACAACAAGCCAAAGTGCAAACAAATATAATCGTAATCGGATTATATTTTTGCTTTTTTCCTCAGCTAATTGCTGGTCCTATTCTACGCTATCGTGAAATTGCACATCTCCTTGAAGAACGTAGAATAAGTCGACAAGGATTTGCAGAAGGTATAATTCGATTTACAATTGGTTTATCGAAAAAAATGCTGATAGCGAATACCCTCGGTGCAACTGCAGATGCAGTATTCAATTTGAGAGTCCAAAATCTGGATGCTTCCCTTGCATGGTTAGGGTTGCTGACTTATACACTCCAAATTTATTCCGATTTTTCGGCGTATTCAGACATGGGTATTGGTCTCGCAAATATGTTTGGTATTCGATTTCCTGAAAACTTTGATTATCCCTATGTGTCTCGCTCAATCAGAGAGTTTTGGAGACGTTGGCATATTTCACTTTCGAACTGGTTTCGTGATTACTTATACATTCCACTTGGAGGCAATCGCACTTCAGCTAAAAGAATGCATTTAAATCTCTTCACTGTATTCATTCTTTGTGGGCTTTGGCATGGAGCCGGTTGGAACTTTATAATATGGGGACTATTACATGGAGGTTTCTTAGTTCTGGAACGAATTAAATTTGGATTGCTGTTAAGCAAAACACCAAAAATTTGCCAGCATCTTTATACAATGAGCGTGGTTTCCATTGGATGGATCTTCTTTAGAGCTTCTAATCTTCCCCATTCTATAGGGTTTTTCAAAGCCTTAGTAGGATCGGGGAGCGTCGACAGCGTTAAAAATTCGGCAAAGCCATATCTGGAAACAAAACTTTTAACTGTTGTGATAATTGCTATACTAGGATCTTCTGGGTTACTTTCTGGTTTTATTCACATTTTAAAAACTGCTGCAAGTCGGATTTCGAACAAACGCTGGCATGTGCTTGCCAATTTAGTTCTTAGCTGCTGTGGAATATGCGCATTCGTGAGCTTCTTTGTTCTTTCCGTCATGGCTATCTCGAGCGGACTCTATAATCCCTTCATTTACTTTAGATTTTAATCAAGATTTCGCCGAAACGACTCTGTACTATTTAATACGATCATATATTCAGTCTGAAAGTGACTGATTTTCAATGAATGAACGACGAGTAGAATTTGAGTGGTTAGTGATTTTTCTTTTCTTTCTGCTTATCTCTCTTCCCGAGATAAACAGGCAGCTTTTGTTTGTCTCTGATGTTAACTCCACCGAGAAACGAACATTATCGGCTCAGCCGGAGATTGATCTGAGAAATTTTGGCACCTTTGTAAAGAAATTTGACTCGTTTTATAATGATCATTTCGGATTCCGCAACAGGCTGGTAGCCGCACACACTTATATAAATGTCAAATTTTTTGGAGTCTCTGGTGTACGTAAGGTCATTGTTGGTAAAAAAGGATGGCTTTATTATGATGCTCATGAAGCTCAAGATGGGATAGGATTTGCTGGTTGGCAGGGTAAGATACCCTATTCAAAAGCCCAGTTAACAGCTATAGAAAGGAATCTAGAAGCGCAGAAGGTTTGGTTTGATAAACGTAATATTATTCTTATTGTTATTCCATGCCCTGATAAGCATTCAATATATCCTGAATATTTACCTTGGAGATTTAAGGGTGTAAGTGGTCCAAGTAGACTTGCGCAGATGTTCGACCACTTGAAACTGCATTCCAAGCTCGGCTTACTTGACATCAAAGAAAATCTATTGGTCGCGAAAAAATCAACTCCTTTAGACTTGTACTTTAAAACTGACACACACTGGACCACCGCTGGAAGTTTCATTGTCTATAGTGAAATAATGAAACAGCTGCTCGTTATCTTTCCTGAACTTATACCGTATCGACTTGAAGACTTCATACAAGATCGAAACTTAAAGATGCAAGGAGACTTAGCCTTAATGGCTGCCCTTGATACGTCTGACATTTTAGAACATCAGCTTATTCTAAAGCAAAACTCAAGTCTCGGCATAGGACTAAAACTAAACAAATTACTTATTTTCGGTGACTCGTTTTCAACATACATACAACATTATTTCTTACGACATTTCAATCATGTGCAACTCATTCGAAGTGCAACTCATAAAACTCCTATGTCACCAATTAATGAAAAAAACATCTCAGATTATCAACCCTCTGTGGTAATTGTGGAGTCGGTGGAGCGTTCCTGGACAATGATGGATAACGTATGGTGAACGGCATGAAAATTATGGGAAAAATAATCATGTCGCAACATTAGATTGATTAAAAATCCATCGAATTTTGACGAACATCGATCAAAGTGTCCGTTTATCATCCGAAATTTCATTTCTTTTTCTGTGTCATCATTTCTCTGTGGCAACTTTTCATTAAAACGATGTAAAAGTCATTATTTTTTTCGCTTCCTTGGCTTTCTTGGAAACTCACCCTCACCCCTCAACATAATTATTTAGCAAGACCGAAAACTCCCAAAAGTATATTTTGTGACTGCACTACACTATGCTTACACTATCAACAAAACGCTTAGACCTTTTAGGGTTTTCGAAGCCCCAGGATTTCTGAAACACTCTGTTCGCATCAAGAATTTTAACTGCCAAAAAGAATCTAAAGAGCTCGGCCAGTCGAACGAACGGTGGAATCAGCGATGTTTAAAATGTCTAAATTCAAATTTTTAGCGCGTTGGTGAAAAGTCAGCCATATTCAGTTTTAAGCAGTCCTGGACTTGCTCATCAGCATACGCTCAAATCTTCGATCTATCGAAAATCACACAAGCTAATACTTCTAGACACCACACAATTAACACCGGAGATGCTGTTCCAATTAGTTCACGTCCATATCCTAGGACTGTTCAAGAACGACGAGAATTACAAAAGATGATACAGGAAATAATGG